ATATATATATATATATATATATATATATATATATAAGTAATGCTATTAAAATTCAATTAATAAATGTACCATGACCATAAATAATCAACATATTTATTGTAATCCAAACCCAATTATTTTTTGTTTGGAAATTAATTAAAATTTACCCAAGCCTAATACACGGGGGATACTTCTGTCCCGTGTATCGCACGTGCTACGTACATTTATTTATCAAGAAGTTTAAACATTGAAATATTTTTAAATATCTAAGATATTCATTGCTGTTTATGGATGATAATGTCCCTGTATTTAAACGATTAATAATAGCAAGATGAATTTTGACCATGTATATCATAATTATGATTTCATGAATTATCGCTACTACCATATTTTGGGACGCCAATATTTTTTTTCCATAATACGGTAGTCCAATTTTTTAGGTATATAAAATATGTATTATATGGTAACTGCTATATTAATTTTTAAAGTATTAAATGTAAAATATGTTGTATATGGTAAGTGTTACATTGCAGATATTTAGCCAATTACGAATCACCTAAAATTCTCAACTAACTATTGGATGTCGTAGTTATCTTCTGTCAACCTCCACGTTCTTTGTATAACTGGCATCAACATCATCAAACGAAATCGGCTATAATTAATTTATTTAACGTAATTCAATCGTTAAAATTAATTATCCCGTCCAACAATTGACCAGGTGACCCGGCGGTTGAACCAGTGATCCGCTGACCCGACGACCTGGCGGGTCAATTACCGGGCCGGTATAAAATCAATGGATTAAGTTAAGTGACTGCATAAAAATGTGATTTTATGTACAAAAAAAAAAAAAAAAAAAGATGGGATTTTAAATAAAAAATGGATTCAACTTAACCACTTTACAACTCAATTTAAATGACCTTTCAAATCTCCAAGACAGTAAATAGCTTTTCAGTTCCTGCACAACCACTTTTTACTCATAATTCTAAACATCACTCAAACGTCTTTTACACCCCAACTTTCAATAAAAAAACGCCTCCTCACATTATTATTATACCCTTATAAATATGTCCGAAAAAAAAAGCCTCTTCATTCAATAAGGCCTCTCTCCGTAACTTGATACAGAAAAAAAAAATGTCAGACTTTTCAAAGCCAAAAACCAAAGAACAACACTTCGAATTAGTGAGGAAGGAGATGAGAGAATATCGATCGGACGATTGGTTGGAAGATGCATTTTGTCGGATCGTCCGACGTTTTTTGGTGTTCGAGGGAGTGAAGGATGAGTCTGACATTGATTTTTTTGTTAAACAGATACACGGTTGTTTCGTTGAAGAGACTAGAGCCTGGTACACGGTGGCTGATAGTTATCGAATGTTCTATGTGTTGAAGGAGAGGTATCGTACTTTCAAGTGGCTGTTAGAGCAACCAGGGGTATTTCACGACCCATTTGCATGTACCGTGCATGTACCAGATCTTGTCAAGAATGTAGCATTAAAGGTAATTAATTTAAGAACCCTATGTATAATTAGCCTATAAGCTTTGTGTATGTGTGATGAGCGCTTAATTTATTTATATTTCGTGTTATTTGAAGCATTGGCCACTTGCCGACTACGTGATTGATAAACCAGAACCCAAGTGGGACGTGCTGGAGGCCATTTTCGACTAGATGGAGCCTTTGGAGGAATACCCTGGTGAACAAAATCCGAAGACGAACAACGACTTCCCAGAACTTTGCCGACTGTATGAGATGTACTTGGAAGAGCTAAGGCAGCCGTTGATGTCGTGGGATTAAGCAGACGTATGTTGAAGCCGTATATTTATTTTTATTTGTTTTTCGTCTTTAATGGTGTGACTTC